TATTACTCGTTTTATCATTGGTAATCCTATTTCGAGTCCTCAACAACAACAAGGTTATGTGCCTAATGCGACGGCATACGAAACAATGGTAAGTTTGATAACTTAATTTTTCTTTACTTTAACTTGTCCAGTTAGCATATTAAATTGGTACAATCTGGTTCATTAGCATTCTATCAAAGTTTGTACATCATATTTGTGGATTTGTGGATATGATTTGTCCAGTTAGCATATATATCAAAGTTTTCCTCATATGTTCTACTTGTACTTCATATTTGTGATTTGTGGATATGATTTCATTCTCTCCATGGTGTCCTAATTTATTGGTCTGCCACATTTTTATGAAAATTGACTCAACATGTTAAAAATCTGATTCCCTTATTAATTTTGCGTGGTTTACAAACTTGGTCAACTTGGCTAGCATGTTTCTTAATTAATTATTTTGGCCAGGCACGTCATATTCATTTGATGGTTAATAAAGCAATAACACTCGGTGATAACCCATCAATGGAGGAATTTTACAGGTTTCGTGCAATGGTGCGGGATGAAGGATCTAATTGTTTGGCATATGTGCAAGAGGCAGATAGGATTCATGTGCAAGCTAACTATAGAAGAGATGAGCAAATGTCTGACCATTTGCATCCCCCTATTCGTCGGCGAGGAAAAGGTGGTGTTGCGGGTAGGAAGGTACGTGCTGTTGAGAGAGGTCGAGCGCCTATTGAAATGGGTGAAGATGATCAAGCCACACAAGATTTCCAAGCAGCCTCGGATTATGAACCAACAAACACTGAGATTATGCCATACATGACACCACAGACTTCACAAATTTCAAGGGATCCAAGTCTTACATCACTTGAAAATGTATTTGGTAGTAATCAACCTCAACATTTTGACAACGCCCCAAACTTTTCCTCATCGCATGTAGAAGGTAATGAGTTGAATGATTCTAACAATGAAGTGGATGGTGATGAGTTGGAGGATGCAAATCAAGGTGCAAGCCAAGGTGGTGAACCATCGGTGAAGAATAAGCGTAAAATTTTTCCTAAGCTTTGTGGGACTGGTACTTTAAAATCTTCACATTATTCTTTGACATAAGTGTTCCTTTTTAGTTGAATAATTGAAAAATTGTTCTTACTTTTCAGGGAGTCATCATCTTAATCAGCACGGCCAAAAGAAAAAAACAAAAGATAACAAAGTTTCTGTGTTAACAAAGAAAAAAGGCAAAGGATGAATCATGTGGTTCCAAGTAAGCTTATAATTCTTAGTCTTTCAATTGTTGCATCCGTATCGGATTCTTTATAAACTCGTTCTAAATGGATTGACCTTTGGAGGTCATATAAGTGAATGGACTTTAAATGGATTTTATGTTGAACAATTGACCTGCTATATGTTATGTTTATGTTTATATCTATTGGCCTTTTGTATCCAGCACGTTAGGACAATTTTCTCCATAAATGGGACTGAAACATATAGTTAATTCAATATTGAAGTTACACCAGTTAAAGCTCTAATAAAAGATTGTATATTTGATCAATGCAGCGTCTAATCTTGAGTTAGTATTGATAAGATAACGTGGTTTAAGTGATCACTCTCGCTCACTGTTAGCCTAGTCATGATAGTGGTATGACTTGGGAAAACATTGAATATGAGGGATTGAGATGATCTTTCTAAGAGTTGTTTTCAGTAAAACCAAACTTACTCACTTGAGTTCATTTTCTCTGTTTTCTGGTAATGAGATAGTACCATTTTTCTCCAATTTCTTACTTGAAGTAGCCATGGTAAGCAAACAGGAGATGTTATCATAAGCCCTGGCTCCCTGTATGCCTGCAGTGATGTTGTCAGATAAACAACAGAAAGGACTGCTGGATCTGAGGGGGTTGCCTGAAAAAAATGGTAACTAAAATTGGCTGTCAAGAGAGAAATCTGGTGGTAGACGCAGCTTTTTTCTTGGCGGTGAGAAGGGCGAGGGGTGTATGACTGGCATATTTGAGACCAATTCGACAAGCCATGGGCTGACATGTTTAACGTTCTGCAATAAATCAGGTTCATCCCATGCCACCTGAAGAAGCGAGAATTACTCAAGTCCATATAAGTAGACCACCAGTTCATTCCCCAACGAAAAGTGGAGTTTAAACCATTTTCAATCGTGCCATAGCTATATTTAATTCATATTAACTACTTATTATTTATAAATTCTATGGTTCAAATGCTTTGACTGAGTTATTTTATTTTTTCATGCAATAAAATGAGTATTGACTTGATCTTTTGAATGCCAAATAGCTTAGTTTCTTGTCAAATTCCTAAACCTTAATTTTGTTGGATTTTATTGGAGTTTCTCTCTTAAACCTTAATTTTGTTGACTGTCTCTGTTTTCTTTGCTTAGTTCATTAGTGTTTATTGTTAATTTGTTGATGAATACTTGTGATTTCACTGCAATTTAAATGAACCATGTCATGTTTAAATTTTCTCTAGTAGGGTGATGCAAAACCTAAGTCTTGGTCTGTTGAAGGACTGTAGAATTAATACTTCAAATGATTTGTATCCTAAATACATAGTTTGTTCAATTCAAAGGTGTGTTAATATTCTGTACATTTTTATTTTTTGGACATCCACTAACTAGTGCTGTGCATTTAGTTTTGTTCAGTGTGGTTTATAGATTGCATCTAATATTTTATTTTATTATTTCAGTTTAGTGATGCGGATCAAAAATGTGTGCCCATGGATAGAGTTTCACCAAGCAAACACTTATATATTACCTTTTTCACATTTGTTTGATGTGAAATCACTTGTTAAACTTAATTACGATTTGGACATCGACGCCTATCATGTCCGGTTTGTCTACATAATCCACAAGTTCGCTCATATACTGCAGCACCACGATCCATCTCATTAGGTATTCTAGTTGTCCTTGACCGATTGAGACGACGATAGAATTCATTACTTTCCATTCTAAAATTAGGAGATGGCCAATACGCCTCATGACCAATTGGTGAGAAGGACCCAGAATATGTTGCAACATAATTCTCTACAGTGAAATGTTCACTAACAAAGTTTCTAGCTAGCCCTCCCATTCTATCAGTGACCTTCATGACATGTGAACATGGAAAATGCAAATTAACCCATTTTCCACAATCACATTTTCTTTCATTAAGTGAAACACAATGAGGATTACCACCATTACCATCAACCTGTATAGATTTAACCTCATATACCCCTGTGGGTATATTCCAATAAAAAACAAAGTGCCTTTTTGAACTTTCATAGTTCTTTTCCCACTTCATTTTGAACCTTTCGGTCCACAATTCATCTTGTTCTAAAAGTTGTTGCGCTTTTTGAGACCTACGAGTGTATCGTTCAACAGTTTGCTCTAATGAAAGTCTAACCATAGCAGTGACTGGCAAGCCTCGTGCTTTTTTCAACACTCCATTGAACGACTCTGAAAGATTTGTTGTCAACACTCCCCATCTTTTTCCACCATCATGACTAACAGTCCATTTGTCCAAGGGGATTTCCATGAGATATTCATATGCTTCTTCATTTTCTTCTCTAATTTGCCAAATCAAGGATTCAAATTTTCTTACTTGATGGGCTGAAGCAGCCCTCCACATCAATCTGCTGAGGTCTTTGTTTGGAAATTTAGATTGAAAGTTGCTCTTTAGATGCCTTATGCAAAATCGATGGAAGGTTCGAGGCTCTTGAAATCGCCGCAACTCCTGCAAACTAGTCAAGATTCCTTTTGCCCTATCAGATATAACACAAATATCTTCTCTATCTTTTATCACATGTGCACTCAAATTCCTAAAAAACCATTTCCATGCCTCTTTCGATTCTTTGTCTACAATAGCAAACGCTAGAGGAAGAATGTTATCATTTCCATCAATTCCAACAG